CATAAAGCTTATAATAAGAGGAATATAAATATAAATAATCTAATTATTGAGTAGTTATACCATAAGAATGTATATAAAACATTAGTCAATTAATATGTTTCGGAAGTTACTCGTGATTTAATCTTCGCTCGGATATAACACAAACACAATTCAAAACGTATATATACAGTACAAAACCGTCCTTGGGGAGAGTTACCAAATAGCATACTAAAAGACGCAACGGACGAATAGCATTTAAGATATTTCTTAGTGGGAAATACGACATGAAGGTGACAAGAGCGCCTATAGCGAAAATAAAGAGATTCAAATTTTCTAAATAAAATTATAAAATTAGGTCCTTTCCCAAGTGAGTTCTGGGGATCTAACATCCCCAGCATTCTCTAACTTAGAATCCTGAAGGGAAAGAGTAAGACCAAAGAATAAACTGCTCCAAGAATCTGAAGCAGACATTAAAAGGATGAATAGCAACTGGAAAAAACTGGAGAATATTACCCATGACAGAGTTGGGTGGGAAATGCTAGTGGGCGGCCTATACTCCTCCACGAGTGGTAGCAGTCATAATTAAGTAAATATAGTTAGACAGCTCCAGTTTGCTGACTGTCACATTCATTTTATTTTAGACGTTCCTCATGTTCAGGAACTAGTGTAATTGTACGGTTCTGAGTATTAAAAAAGGACTCACAACGTGTCAGAGTAGCTTTGAATAATGTAAATTATTTTCAAATGCTGCTTACGTTAACAATAAAGCAGAGGAAAGATGGAATTTCAAAATTGAATAATGTTTAATTTAGCGTTTTATTTGGTCAAACTCAAATTATATTATTCCCTACCATTATTGATGTGTTTTTAGCTAAGTCAGATTTAGCTTCTAACATTCAATCGACTGCAAGATCTTATTCAATGTCTAATGATCAGGTAACTTCAAGTTCTACATTTACCAGCAGTTTAATATCATCATCTGAGACTTTTAGTGGTCCATCATATATTCAAAGCACAGTTAATCAATTACAAAATCTACATTATTACCATTATCCAGAAAAGTCAGTTGAAATAAATATCACTGACTTCAAAATTCTATTAGATCACATATTTTGGCCTAAAAATAATCAATATCTGATTGGTCATGATGAGTTTGACTTCAGTTGTTTGGAAAAGTTTCTTAACTACTTAAAAGAAAAATTAATACAAACTATATCTGAGAAAATAAGAGCACAAATTCGACGAGAATGGATAGAGAAAATTTTATCAGTTTCACTGAATACATTTGATAATTCAATGGAATTAGTTTATAAAACCGTTTTCCAGGTAAGATAACTAACTTTATTCTATGGTTGGAAGACAATAAAATTTAAATTAAGATGACTAACATGATTAGTCTATTACAATAAGTGAATATTTTATTTTCTACTATGTAGAATTATCTAATGAATAGTAATTCAAAATGATTTCATTACGATGACTTAAATCAATTGGTTATAGATAATTCTATCCACAGTATAAATGACTAATTATTAGAAAAAGCCATTCTTGTTTTTCTATGTTCAGTAGATAGTTATGATCTATTTGGCTAACCTATGTAACCTAATAAAAGTAAGTTCATGAAAAAATGACAGATTTAACACCATAAATAAATTCTTTGTTATATTCACATTCCGGTTAATTTATACCATTTTTTTCATGTTTGTTTTTGTAACTTTATCTAATAAATTATAAGTACGTTGATCCTAGTTAAGTACAAATTAACAAAAGTAAATTACCAGATATTTTTATGAGTTGCTTGTTAAGTATATGGTAGGTATTAAAGATACCAGTATTACTGTTTCTAGATTATTTTAATTCATCTAATCTAACAACTAAATCTGACAAACAATGAATAGTTGTTTTAATCAATCAAAAATAAGATGATAATTTTCAATTCATGAGAGTTATATTTATTTGCAGATAAATACAAGTAATTATTCTCTTCATAATTCCACATTTAAAATCATAATTATTAAGAATGATGAAATGATTCTTTTACTACTAATTAATTGTTATTAGTGTGCTCATAATTATCACGGAATTATATTTATTTTTCAATGAATACCTTCTTTTTTATGCACATTCTTGCTTTACGCGTGAAGACACTCATAAAAGATACAATAAAACATGGTGCACAAAAGCAGATCAGTGTTAACATTGCATTACTTTATCCAACAAAAACAACAAATGATGCATTGCCTTTCGATACAAATATACAATCCCGTTTACAATATGTAGCAGCCATACCAGAATCGGAAGCTGAAATTCTGCTTGATCAGTGTCCACAGGGAGATGAATCCGATTTATTGTTCAAGGTAAACGGTTAAAAGAAAGTGATTATTAAATATGTCAAATGTTTTCATATTGTTTGAGTTACATAAAATAATGTGCATAACTAAGTGGAACAATGATAATTTGTCTTCTACGCTGCTCAACAGTAGGGATTTATTTCGTATAGTCACTGGGATCAATGATAACGTAAGAATCAATGACAAAAATTACTTCTCCCTACAGTGTACCTTAGTTCTTATCAGTCAAAAGATAATACTTGATCCGTGACTACGGAGAATCATGATTTAACGACAACACAATACTTATCTAGTCCTAACCTAACCACAATGATAGTGAGAAATGGTTGGATGATTTGTGATTGAGCAACAACAGAATAAATTCCGTTGAGATCACGAGCTAATCTAAGTCAGAAAACCGGTTAAAAAGTGAAAGAAAGTAACGTTCATTTTTCTTCAGTATGGGACTAATCAGCAGTGTGCATCCACGACCCCGCGACCTAAGACCTCCGGTTTCGCGTGCGAATGTTTAATCTCTAGACCACTGAGCCAATAATTAGTGGCGTGATAGTCTAACTCCAATTATTTTACGATTCTAAACGACCGTCTTCCATTTTTTTCTTTAAGTACCTTGCACATACTCGACACTGGTGAAATCCACTGGTCTCGCTTTTCAAAAGGACTAGACAACTCATACACCCATAAAGAAGTAAACATGTCTTTAAATCAACGACCATAAGCTCAAAATAGTGATTTCAAATTCAAGTATATCTTATCACTTTCCTCATCATCCTGAAACTATTTCAGTAAATCACAATGAAATCATACTTCTAATTAGATAAAGGTTAAAACTCAAATATATTTCTACCATGTTCAAATCCTTAAATAGTAAAAAAAGTTAAGCGTAGGGTACTATCAAAGAATATATTCGGATTTTCGTTGAGACATATCGGCTCTTTTTCAGCTGTAATAATCTCATGTATGAACATAATTCGAATAATTTTAAAAATGTACTAGTTTTTGAAAAGACAATCGAACAAATATTTTCCATATCTAAGGCAAGTAGATTTTGTTGTGACTTCTGCTCGGTTATTTATCACATGATATGATCGCCCATGAGTTTACGACTTATAAAATCTTATCACTGTGCCACAACAATGACGTATTGACCGGTATGAGCAGCCTAGCCTTCTTGTTGGCCCTTTTTCTGCCTAACCCTGCCTGTTGGCTCCAGAACGCCAATAACAGATTTTACTGTACGAATGATCTATTTCAGACATAATTGGTTAATATACAAACAAACTAAACCATATCATACCATATATAAAAAATAACAATTGTACAAGATCAAGCTAAAAAGTGGCTATAATAAACTAGTTATAACTTAAGAATAGTAAGTCGTATAACAATAGTCTGTAAAGCTTATAATAAGAGGAAAATAAATATACATAATCTAATTACTCAATAATTATATAATAAGAATATATTTATAATATTAGTCCATTAATAGATCTCAGAATTCACCCATAATTTAATCTTCGTTAGGATATAACACATTTAATTATTAATCTACATGATCTGGATTTCTAATTTGGACAACATTAAAATACCATTTTTTTGTGACTTAGGGTATTTTAATTTGTAACATGGTTTATATAAACTGAAAACTTATTCAGTTTTGCAAAGTCAAGCTTTTACAGACTAATCACTTATTTACGGGCATGGTATTCGGGTGTTGAGTGATAAATATAATAAAAGAAATTTTTAAATAATCCTAAACTATCTCAAAGTTTTTGTATCAGTTATCTGTTATGAAGAAAGTATTACTTAGTAAGTATTATATTTGTATTTATATTTAATAGCAAATTATTCCTTGTGGTAAATTTGATTTAGTTACACAATTTACAGCATAAAAGTTAGATAATTCTTTGATTTATTCTATACTTAAAATAAATGTCTTTGAATTACTTTTGTTTATCCACAATAGTGTTTAAGAACTGGTTTAACATTGGTTCATTCTGAAATGTCAAGATTGAAAAGATTTTCACTTACCGAAAATAAGTCACATAACATGTCAGTATGTACTGAAACGAACACGGAACAAAGTTATCAATCACCTTCATTCGCTCTTGCTATACCAATACCCTCTGCTAAGAAATACTTTATCGGAGTAATGAAAGTAAACAAATTGAAAAATAACGACCAGCTACCAAAGTTTGAAGAACATGAAATTCAGTTTTATCGCGTAAGATTTGAAAGTTGCTTTTGATATCTTGGTTTTATTTTAGATTCTAAACAAATAAGCCTCTGCTCGCTGGTAATTATGTTCGAGATTCTTTTCTCTGTATTCTACATGTAAAGTGACTTAGGTTGAGCTCAAACATGTAGTTAGAGAGACATAAACCACCGATGCCGTTACATGGTCGTGTGGCAAAAATACTAAAATTGATAATGTGAATTTTTAATCTCTGATCTCAACCCATCACGTCTAACAAACGATCTAAACGTCTTGAGTTAGATTACGTATGGTATCGTAAGTTCAAATCACTAAGTAGCACTGAAGTCAAGAGAAATTGTTACATAGTTTTACCATATTATATTTCTTCCCATTATTGTTTATTGTGGCAACACCTAATAAATAAAATTTTAAAAAACTGGTATGTTGTTTCTTGATCTTATTAATTTTATTCGTGAGATATTAAGACAAATACGGATTTTCAACCGACAAGCCTATATATTTGAACATAATATTACTTAGTCGGAGAATAATGACTTTGATGGAGCTTCTGATGATTACTTGAGTAATCGAGATAATTGGCTAACTATTGATTTTTATGTTGAACCAAAAATTTAAATATGGTATGACACTGTTTTAGTAACAGTTAACAGTAAACGCCATGATGAAGACAGTGCTACATTTTTGAGATACAAGACTAATGTATCCAAATAAGAGCACATAACAAGCAGAAATTCTGTAACAAGATCAGTAAATTTTTTAATGCACACCAAACAACTCCCATTAAAAATTAAAAGTAGCTTCTTAAAATGCATACATTAAAACACAGTAACAAATTAGAGAACAATTCAGGGTTTACATAAATGAGGATTGGTTTTTGATTATATTAGGATCATCAACTTTAAGAAAACTGAACCCGCACAACAATTAGCAAAACATTCAATATCGTATATGAAGCTCTATATCCAATCATTCTATTTTGTAAAGCCGCGACATGTACATACTACATTTGTTTTATATCATTTTAAATTAAGATTCGATATATTAGTTCAGACAATATGATATAATAAGCATAAATATTCAAACGTTATTGTAATTGGAGTAGAAAACGAAATTAAGTGTTCCAATACTGAAAAAAAGTTTAAACATTGCAGCTTAAACCTTTACTAAGTGTAAAATTATTTTGCAAATAATTTAAATTCCTGTTCAATATATCAATAACTGATGTTTCTAAATAATAAAATAATATTTCACGTAAAGATTTTTTATCAAGTAACCAAGATAAAGTGAAATTTTCAAAAGAATTTACAATATCATTTTGACTACTGTTCATTTTGGAAGTAATATAAATAGGATCTTGAAAAGTATGTAATTGTATGTTAGATAATTGTGTTACTTTTAAATGATCAAACTTCATACCAACTGCGCCATTTTGATTAATAAACAAATGTAAACTGACATTAAAACGTAAACCGATAAATTTAACATGCATAAAATTATTTTCGGACGTTAAATAATTCCATCTAGGAAATAAGCACCAATTTGCAAGCATTTCCATATTTTTATTTAATTCGATTGAAAATTTAATTTTATAAACATCACATAATTTTTCATCACGTTTCATTATCCATTCTTTAATTAAAACATCACTATTAGGTTGATTTTTATTTGACTGTAGCCATATTTCTTCTTGTTCAATAGAAAATTGGTCATCATATTGATTAATTTGACCAAGTCCATCAAATCCCCATATTGTTATATTCTTTAATGTTATCATCCAATTATCAATATAATCTATTTGAAATGAATTATTTTTAGCCAAATATATTTTAGTTCTGTAAAATATGATATTGACAAGTAACCTGATTAGTTTTAAACAACTTTGATCAGTTCTAGCGGCGAACGAAGTTATGATATAATGGGAGTGATGTGATGCGTAGACGTTTAAGTTTTCTACATAAAGTAATTGGAGAAATTCTAAGAGTAGGAGACCTGTAGGAAGAAATAGAATACAAGTAGTATTAAGAGAACTTTTAAGAAAACAGTGACATTCAGTTATTTAAATTAATTGTGGCCCCAGAGAGTTAGCTATTTTCTTACAATCAGTCAATTAAACACTATAGAGTTAAGAATATTCATATTCTACAGACTTAGAGTGATAGAAAGCATAAAGCAATATAAAACCAGTGAAATTACTGGATTGTCAGTTAGTGTTAAAAATAAACTTGGATATGTAGTCTTCTTAATGATATGGCGACGTTAAATGTATGGCCTTAGCTAAGCGGAGTTAATAAATTTATATGATTGCAAGCACAAAACTGAGATACCTGAAACTTGTGTTCCCGTCACTAACTTCAGATTATTATATCAGTTATAGAAGTCGTAATTTAAAGATGACATCAACAAAGTAAGCCAATAAATGACAAACAATTAGTCTCAATTTAATTACATGCCAACATTGAAATACAAAGTTAATACAATATATCACGCTGTAAACCTTCAGGAACCATATTATTTACAACTTCAATTTCCATGGTTAGTCAAGTCAACAAGCTTTCACGCATCTATGTAACAAAAACCTATATCTATATATTCAATTTTTAAGAAATAAACATTTGACGAAAAACATTACTTACATCTGAAGATGATCGTCATTGCTATTCTATAAAGAAAAGAAAAAAAATCGAAGACATATTCAATATAAGTAAATCAATTAGATGACTAGTTGATTTGTGACATGTTTTAACATAATTTTTAATATCTAATAAAATATTCACTTATTCTATCTTATGTGAATACAAATATTAATGAATAAAAATAACGGATGTATATATCATAAAAGTTTGATGAAACGATTCATTCCATGGTTCACCACTGTATCGATTATATATGGTCAGGGTAGGAAGTGTGTGTCATTCACTTAAATATTTGTATGTTTGTGCATAACAAACGTTTATTTATTGATAGATGATATGAAGCCTTAGTAGCGTGTGCATGTGAGTGAATTCATTTACATTTCACATTATATCGGCTGAATTTAATTAGTCCTAAGATTTATGGGATATTTCGTTCATTCTAAAAAAAACATATTACTAAATTTTTAATTTTACCTCTAATGCATTTAATATTTGAATCGTTCATTCCTAACATTATAACTGTTGAAAAATGCTAACCGGAGTATTGTAGCATCAGAATACTAATTATATGTATGATATTAATTCGAAAAGTATTTCATTAATTATTGGTATCCCAGGACAAATATAGATTATAAAACTGAAATATCTTAGTTACATTGCTAACAAAAATGCTAATCTGGTCATTTTTACTAACACTAAAGAGTATTTAACTAGTCAGAAATAATTTGACTATTGAAGTCATTTATTTGTCTTATGACATTTAATTTTCAACTCATTATAGAAGAACAATCAAATGATCTTATATTGGATATCTAGAAATCACAGTGGATGTTAATAAGATATATATGATAAAAATCACCAAAAGTCTTTTGAATTTGCTTATTGATTTCAATTATTACCATATAAATGTCATCAAACAACAAAAATAGAATGTACATAAAGCTTCAAAATAAGTTTTTTTTAAAACAGAAAAAACTGGTCAACTAAATAACACATAGATAATAAGTGCTATGCGGATTTTCCAAAAACCTGTAGGAATCTTTCATTTAAATATCAAATGGAAATAAACAGGTTACAGAGTGATTCAACACAGAAGATTAAACCAGTGAGTACAGTAAAATGTAAGAAAATTACAATAAAGCTAGTGATCTGAAAAGAACTATCTATTTATCAAACATTTTATCATAATTAACTTCTTCATGAATAAATATCAATCAAGCTAATATTTATATTCAATGTAAGTTTAAGCAATTAAAATTGATATCATTTTAAGCAGAGTAATGTTTAACTGACCATCAACTTAAAATTAATGTACTGTTAAATTTTACTTACAAGGACTGGAAATATGAGCAGTTATTAAATTTGAGCTACTTGCATGGAACATACATTCAAAACTTTGTTTCTTGGTCTACATTTACCTACCATAATAATTAAAATTACAGTTACGAGGTGGATATTTTAAACCTATATTTGAAATAGTGAAAATGATTTCTTAAAAATGTTTGGAAAAGGATTACATTTTTTAGTGAACAAGAAGACGAATGGACACAATCGAATGGATTAAGCAAAAAATTACAGGAATTGTTAATAAAATCTAACAATCATAAAGTAAATGCTTAATTTGCAAAATGTTCATCAATTGTCTCAAAATGACTCAGACTTCATTGTTCTTGCATTTTCATACAAACTACACTTTGTTTCCTTTCTTTACTGTTCGATCCTCTTGTCTCTCTGCTGCCAGACATTCTGTTCACGACTAACGTCATATACTACTTATGCCGATATAAGTAGCACACACCACAATTTTTCCAAGTATATCTTAAAGTAATAGTTTTTACAGTTAATTATTCAATGGTTTTCTTTAAACCTTTTTTTACTGCAGGGTGTAGCTTATCATCTGGGCTTTGCTTTCTCGCTTGTAAATAGTCGATACTTACTCAGTTCCATGATACATGATGCATTCGACTGGATTTATAAACGGCTAAGCAATATTGATGAAATTGCATTTTACCACCGATGTAATGATGATGGTGGTGATGTAAATCATTCGACGACAATAAATTCGACAGAGGAGAAAACATATCCACCTAGCAAAGAGGTTAATTATAAATTACGCAAACTTGTATCAAAACATGATATTCACCAAACAACAGTTCATACTGACCCATATGTTATCGATAAAAAGAAAAACCACCTATAGTAAGTTACATTATCATATTGATTGTGCTGTCAGAAATTAGATACAAATATAAATATTTTTATGAAGCATTTAATTTTATACATATTAGTGACGTTTTATAACTTAAAGTAAACTTCATACTAACTTTCTACAACGTTGAGTATCCATAGTGCTTCCAATAATGAAGACAAAATGATATTATTTGATTATTCAAGCTATACCATTCGATGTCTTGAAATGTCATACTATTCATCTTGATATTTGAAATCATTACGATTCACTGACTGATTACTGTACCTGTTACTACTCATTAAGCCGTTTGTTGCTTTAATGAAACTAAATATTTTAATATTCATGATTCACTAGGAAGTGGAGCTGCAGCTTTCATGATATATTCACTCATAACTACATAAAGATATACGTCACTGTTTGTCAAAATCGATACGTTATATTATAAAACGTGGTGAATAATTACCTTGACAATTTCAACCTACTAATAAGTAGTGCATTGATTAAGTAAATGTGACCTAATTTAACTTGTTTTCATTAATATTTTACGTACAACTGTTCACCAATAGTATGTAATTCTTTTCAGTTTCTCGTTATTTCTTCGGATATGTTTTTATTACCATACGACACATCATAATGTCGAGTATTACACTCATTTAATGGATTTGAAATTTATTTAGACAACATATCGATAACTATCAAATGAAGGTGTAGGTAGGGTAATGTGGTATTTTACATATAAAATCTATTGACTATTAAAACATCATATTTTAGTTTACCTTTCCAACAATCATATTTACCAAATGTTAAACACAGAACATAAAAAATTGGCAGATTTAGTTATAGGAGGACAATGGAAATATGATGATAATATATATCGCATGAAAAAATGATTTCATCTTATGATTCACAACGCTAACAAGCTACTTAGAAGGAAAAAATATAATGTATAGATGATTATCTAATTAATAAATATATTTCTCCCGGAATAATCTAATTTTTCGCGGAGATGTTTTGCTTATTAAGGATAAGCTATAGGCGAACAACTCTCCATGGGTGCTTTTAGAATGATGTGGGTTAGTTAGCTGTCATTCCTCCTCAAACAGCTAACATAATAAAGTATACTAAATTCAAACTTAATGCGTTTTTAAAAGCTTTATTTATATACTAATTGACATACATCTACGAAGGCAGCGAAACAGAAACTTATTTGGCTTTGTATTATTATTTAGTTACACAAAAATGGTATAAACTATTTATAACTACGATTTTATATCGAGTTTTTGTTTTAATTATATGACTAGCAGAAAGTGTCTTGCTTGACATTTTCAAAATATACGACCGTCCTAACTAAGTTAGTTAATTATTATGTGAGTGGCATAAGAACTGACAAAAACATTCATCAGTTCAAGTTGTTATACTTCACATCAGGATAACTGACGTAATCTGACAAGAAGTAAATCAAATATGGCAAAGAAAGTAAGAAAAATAATCAATGAAACTAATATATGACGAGCACGAAGAATTGTTAATCTTGACATTTAAAGAAATACATCTCAGACGTTCTTAACGATTTTGAACGATCTGAATAATTTCTTCAATAATAAATTATAATTAACTCATAAAATTTAACCAGAAGTTTTGAACCATTCAACACAACTCAGACTAACAGTAAATGATTTCTTAAATTGATAGAAGAAATTAGTGTACAGAAAAATATAATGAGTTGTTACAAACAGCAATTATCTTGATGGTAAACAAACTAATTGAAAACTATGTTATTTTTATCAGAAAGGTTTTGTGGATATTATAGTAATTTCAATGGTTGAGATCATGAGTCAATTGAAGCTAGACCACCATGGGAAACCTGGAAGCGCTGGACGGCCGTTTCGTTCTATTGTGAGACTCTTCAGCAGTGCGCATCCATGACCTCGAATCACGAGATTCGAACCCAAGACCTATCAGTCTCGCACACGAGCGCTTAACCGCGAGACCACTGAGCTGGTGTCCAATGGTGCTAATATCTAAATTCAACCAATCCACGAACTTGAGCGATACATACATCAATGTCTTCAATGAGTTACTAGCGCACTGCTGAGGAGTCACACAATAGGACGAAACGGCCGTCCACTGCTTCCAAGTTTTCCATGGCGGTTTGGCTTCAATTGACTCATGATCTCAACCATATTATCTTGTTGGATGAAAATAATCACGACGAAGAAGAAAAATATATTTTGAATAAATCGATAACAAACAGGAACAAAGAATTATTATAAGCTTCATTTGAACTGTTATAACTGTAATTATTGTCATTCTATGAAGTATACAAAAAATGTATCTTATCCACCAATCATTATATTTTGAATATTAAGAGTAAACAAATTAAAGTTTAATTTATGGACGGGTTAAAATAATTAGTGGTTACCTATAAATAATAATAATTACTTATGTTTAACTTCTAGAATTAGGTAATGATTTACATTTATCTTTAAATTTACTTGTACTGTTTACTTTAGAGGATTATAACTATTTACTACCATACAAGTCAGCGATTTTAACCAGCTTCAAAATTTAAAAAAAAACGGAGTTTAAGTGTAGTAGTACACCACTTTTAATGGCTGCCTAAATTTAATCAGAAAGTATGGAAACAAAAAATGAGGGTCAATTACATTTATTCATATTACTTTCTGATTTATCCAGCTAGAGTATTAAACAAGAGATTTTAATGACATTGTAGTCTTTGATCGAATAAGTCATTCAGATCACAGAAATTAATTTCATTATAAACATTTTTCTTGAGTTTTAAATCTTCTGTACATTATAAAAACAGAGAATTAT